GATTAGTTTGTGTGAATTATCATACGCAGTGAGACGATTTAGTTTGTTTCTCTTTCGATAATGGGTAGAACAAAACACTCGCTAAAAATAGATACACACATCTAACGAATTTACTAAAGCAAGGGCACGTCCGAATGCAACTGATTGCATCTAGAGTCTACCTCTACTCAATCTAGCACTATTCAGACAAGCACTGGTGCAGATGTAATATGCACATTTACTAAGAAACTGCGGCAATGTAAGACAGTTTTTACAGACAGAAGAAAGCACTGTTACATCTAGTATGGTAGTAAACAACAGCCATGCAGAATTATTGTCGACTGTGATTTGCTTCTTGATGTTATCAATACATTTCCTTGCCAAGAGTGTAACTGTGATGTAGTGGCTACTATTGGTGAAAAAAGTGTAAAGGGTTTGCTTCAAGCATGGTGTGGCAGTAATAAAAATGTTGTAAACCGTAAGATTACAACTGCAAAAGAATCCACAACAAGGCCATTCACAATAAACAAAGACATCGTCTTATCATAATTGGCTTTAGACACGAGACCATGCAAAATATACTGCTGTTTCTGCGATAGCGTAATTCAGTATTGGGCCCATGCATGCTATGGCATTGCTGTCAAAAGAAGGAAACCATAGTCAAAGACTCAGTGAAGGACGCCAAAAAAGACGCCTTCGCAACAGCTTTACTACAGCTCTAGGTAAAACAAAGAAAGCCAGAAAAAAAGGAAACTTACAGCTGAACAAGCTCAGAAGGAATATATTCAGCAGCACCATACTTCAGGCAATAAATGTGGTCAAATTTAGTGACATACAGCTGTAAATTTTCTTTTTTTGCAACTTTTTGTTGGTTTTTTGCGTTTTTCTCAGTTTGATACTTTTGTGAACAATTATTGAAATAACTTTGTTAATAATTATCAGAACTGAACTAAATTTTTTCCAGTTACTCTGTATATATGTTCAAATAAAACGTATTGAACACTTTTGGAAATTTAAAAAAAAAAAAAATTTTATTGTTGAAATAGTGAAAAAATTGGACGAAATAATGAAATTTTTACAGTGATGTATGGGGAAAAAAAGTAAAAAATAAACTATCTTCTTTTTTGAAAATGTAATCAATAGGAAGTGTTAAACACATGTGTCTCCAGAATGCATTAAGTTTTTATGAAATTTGTACAAACCATTTTTGAGTTATTTCCATTTAAAAATCGTCAATAAAATCCAATATGGCCGCCGTCACCATGGCAACGGAGGATTTAAAAAATTAAAAAAAATATTTTTATGCTTATCTTTTTGAGTTATAACTATTAGCCAAGTATTACATCTTTAGACTCGGAAATAAGGAAGTTGGTACTCATCACCCGCCCATGCCCTTAAATTGACGTCACACTTGTAAAAGGGAGGTGAGTGGGTTGTAATTTTGTGACGGTGTGGGATAAGGAGTGGAAGGGTGCATTATAAAAAATCAATGTTAGAAAAATAATTTTAGACCGTTATCTCGCTTTTTAGAAAACTGTTTTAATAAATTGTAATAGAAATTGATTAAAGTACTCTATGTTGACAGGTTCAGACAAGTTTATGAAAAAAAAATCGATGTTTTAAGAAAAATTCAACTGCAATTTTCTGGGAGGGGGGGGGGGAGGAGGGGGGGGGGTTGTAGTTTGAGGTGTGTCGTCGTTTTAGAGGTGGTATCTGGCTTTTGTGACGATATGTGACGGATGTGATTGGGGGGGGGGGGCGGTAAAAATCGTCGAAAAATATTTGATGTCATTTATGGAAGACCCCCAAAGGGAATAATATGCAATGCAGTACAACAAAAACCATATTTTATTTAACCTGTACGAGTTAGATATGAATGGCGTGGTCGGGCGGTAGGAGCATCACTGTGACCACCCAGGCCTCATTAGTTCCATGACGTAAGTTAAGATAATCATGGAATATAGAGATAGAGCTATCAAGTAAAGTAACGAAGTAAAGTTTCCCTTTCAAGCCTGACGGTCTATGGGGCAAGTGAAGTAGAGTTCACTTGTTTCTGTGACCTCGGCATATGGAGAAATAGTGTGGTCAGCTCTATGCCCAGCCGCCTTTACTTTCCCTAACGTCAGTTAGGTACCTATCAGAGTTGGGTGAACTCAGGGACGGTCTATTGACTTGAACCCGGATTCGAACTCGAGACTTTCGGGTTAGCAGTCCAGCTCTAACAAAACTAACTGCTTAATTGTCGAGGTCACAGAAACAGATGAACACTGCTTCATCTGCAAATGAAGGCCAGATCTACGATAAGTGTAGCATTTAGAAAGTATTTTAGGCTTTAAATTATACTTTCACTCTAAAACATCATCTGAATGGTGACGAATAGTTCTCCATGTGACTATGTATGTGATGTTGAGGAATATTTCGCGCTACTAATGTGGATGAAAAATGTATGAAGATTGTCTTAGTTCTAACGATATAGTAGAGACGATCCAGAAGTAATTGTGTATGTTATACAAAACATTAAAACATACCTACATATTTGCTAAAAGGAATATCACGAACTTGTGTAAATGTGTGGGTATGTTTGCACCAATAGGCTTTATATACTACGTACACAATTACTTGTGGATAGTCTAGAGTGTAAAAGGGTAGGAACGTTATATCGTTCTGTTATATTGTTACTGGGGGGTATAAAGACCATGTTAACACTGTCTTTGATTTTGGTTTCTTTAAATATTAATTTTTAATTTCGAATGGTTGGTAATTAGGTTGTTATTGACTTGAATAAAAGAATAAGATATAGGAATGTACATTACAACTGTTTAAAATTGAGGCGTAGATACTAAATGCATGTTTTTCTAAAACAATATGATTTTCTTTTTTTTTCTATTTATAAGTCCATTGGAGAGGGTTAATAGATGTTATGTAATACAAAGAGAGGTCCTCTCTACATACAGAGTTGCTGTGTCATCTAACGTGGTTAAAAGTAAGAATCCCCATACACACAATATGTGCATTAATCCCACAAACGTGAAACTCATTTTCTGTTTTATGTAAATACGTGAAGCTTATTTTGTGTTTACTAAAGATAAAAGAGGTATATTTTTTAACAACCTAAAACATTGTATCTGTTTACCAAAGATAACGAGATATAACAAGCTTCTTGTGATCAGCTGAGTGCATTTCCTTCTAGTATCAAAAGTAATGTAATTCCACAACATGTCTTTGTTAGTATCGATAGTATACCAACTTACGAGATCAAACAGTGAAAAGATGCATAATTAAAGATAGAAGACAACTCTAGGATATATTACAATTTATACTTTTATTTTCAACATCAAGTTATCAAAACATGAATTTAACTACTGCCATGGTTGTTTTACTGCAGAAATAGTAATAAAAAAGATGGTTTTAGTTACCTCACAAGTTAAAGACAGTTACAAATACTATGGATTTTTCGACCCAAGGTCTTCGTTAGCACACAACAGTGTGGTTACAGATTAGACAGAAAAGACAAACAGTAACAGAATTTTTGACTTAGCTCGAAAGTGAAAACACATCTTGTCTACAAGACACGATTTCCAAAAGAAATGACGCGTGACAAAGGACGCTTGGACACCGTATACGGGTGGGGTTGGGGAGCGTGGTGTATGGGGGTGGAAGGGGCGGGGGGTTTGGTTAGGTAAAACATACCTGTTCGTTCAAGCCATCTGGTGCCCGTGTGCCAAATTTAAGTATAAGTCGAGTTTCAGTCTTTATGCCGTCTTTAAAGTTATGGCAAAACCGAACAGCGGTTACATAAAAGTCACTTGTTATGTCATGTCTAGTCTTGTTAAAGTGTTTGGCCACAGGAAAACTGTCTTCTTTTTTTTATTGAACGCAGGTGTTGGCTAACCCTGTCAGACAATCGTTTTCCCCGTTTGTTGAATATAAAATATGTTGCATCGCCTACACTGGATGACATAAACTACGTTACGTGACTCACAGTTAATTATATTTTTTTTTTATTCTGAGAATTCCCCTGGGAAACTGGAGTGATTCAACCTGAAGGGTGAAATGACGGGTATTACATTTGTGGGAACAGGAAGTATCGCCACACTTTGTGGTGGTAGTGGGTGGCAGGCGGCCCCGAACTAAAAGGTCTCTAAGATTACGTTCCCTTCTAAACACCACCAAAGGATTCTATTGAAATAAATGGCCTAAATGGGGGCTGACTTAAAGGTAGAATATTTTTTTATAATTATATTTTTAGCCAAAACCGAATGAGGATGGCAGGGTAAGATGAGTTTAGTTCTATCTGACTTTTGTTTTGGAAATTGTTGAAGGGAGGCCTGGTTGTCATCAGTTGTTACGCGGTGTAGTGCTGACTGGAATATATGCTCCGGGTATGACCGGAGTCGGAAGAACTGTAATAGCTCATGAGCCTTGTTCCAAGAGTCATCATCATGTTGACAAATACGTCGTAGTCTTAATAATTGTGAGATGCAGGTCGGCGGGTGTAAAGAAGTGTTCAGCAGATAAGAGTATGAGTCGGCTGGTTTGTAGAAAATTATATATATATATATATATATATATATATATATATATATATATATATATATATATATATATATATATATATATATATATATAGAGAGAGAGAGAGAGAGAGAGAGAGAGAGAGAGAGAGCGGATGGGGGGGGGGGGGGCAAAAACATTGTTTGCGGGTGGCCCTTTTTTCCTAATACAAATCTTCACTAATAGCTAAATATGTGCTTATCATTTCATCCCAATAATTTTTTTAATCTTTAAATTTTCCAAAGATAAATGACCATGTTTGATCAAGGTGGTTACAGAATGTAGCCATCGAAGTTACATTGACAAAAAGTTACATAGACAAAATAAAACGTATTTGTATGATATTGTAGTAACGTAGAACAAGCAATTCTACCATCACGTAAACTAGTAAGTACAAAATTGAGAATACATAAACAGAAAACGTCAATCGCAGTTAGTACACTTTCTCATGTGTACGATGGGTTCTTTCACCAATATGGGGAGTTTTTGTCATCAGTGTCTTCCTCATCACTGATATCCACTGAAGTCTGCAGTTTTGATTTATTTTTTTGTTGAACTGTCTCAACATGACGTAGCAGTTCATTGCTCTGTTGTTGTTGTTGAGCTAGGTTAGATGTTTTGTTGTTGAACAATACGATACGCTTCTCGCAATCTTGCAACAAATCCCAGAACGCACCGCTTTGAGATTCGCACCAATTTTTAAAAGCATCAGAATTATTTTTATAATTATCTTCTTCAAAGATATCCCCGTAAGTCAGCACAATTATTCCCCTTTGTTTAAAAATAGTTTTACCGAAACGTTTTTTAACTTTTGCCACGGAGTCCTGTTCCTGTTTTGTGAAGCGTACCCCATACTTCAGCACAAAGATTAGAGCCACGAACCCTGAAGTGTCTTCCACCATTTGCTTGATGTGTGCTTTTAACAATGAATTTGACACTACCTGGTCTGCTTTGTGCTCTGCAAGACAATAGCCATCAACAGCAGTAACAGAGCCATTTGTACGTATTAGGAAGCCTGACTTTTCAGAAGCGCAAAGTTTTCTTACAATGGCACTTTCGTCTACTTGACCTTTCGCACCTTCTCCTAGACCTTCCGCAACCTGTTTTTCTTGAACATTTATAACATCTTTTCCTATATCTTCCGCATCCTTCAGGCCTTTAAACATAGAGTTTATGGTCGAGGTTATCCCATTACCATATCTCCCTACAAACAAGAGAACTTTTGAATCCGTCATTTTATGAAACCTAGGTGAAAAAAGTAAAACAACAAGAACAATAATTAATATTTGTTAAAATACAACTTAACAACGACTTAATTCATCTTCGTTAGTTCTGCTCTAACTATATGTATATATATATATATATATATATATATATATATATATATATATATATATATATATATATATATATATATATATATATTTATATCCAACTGTTAGGTCAGAATTCCACAAACATCCATTCACTAGATAATTACAGGGTACACAGTAGGGATGGACAGTAGATGACACGTTCAAAGAGACTGACCGCTCTGACAGGACAATGGTAATCTTTATACTGACCAGTAGCTAGGGTTGTTAGCGCCAGAGGGGTAATTTGTTAGGTCACAAGTTTTGAGCCCATTGTCCCGTGGGAATAGCTAGGGGGTTAGAACAGGGGTGTAAATACAGGCAGGTTAGTTAGTCTCGCTCTCTCTCTCTCGCACAAGCGCTCCCGAATTTAGCGGTTAGGGGAAGCCTCGCTCAGCAGAACAAGCATTCAGCTAATTAATAAACAGCATAAACTAAGAAGGTCTCCTGTCCCGTTGATTATTTTACTGTGGCTGACTCGGGTAGAATCATTAAAGACAACGACGGCCTTATTGGCTAGTGCCAGTGTCAGCAACGTATTCGGCCGGCGACTAAGCAACCGGACGGCAACATCGTAGTTCGGTCTGCAACATCTGGGGACTCGTCCTATTGGACACAAAAGCCTCTCACAAGATCGAAGCTTCCCGCATGCTATTTTTCCTGCACTTGTCGCTGTTGCAACTGTTCCCGTAAGACGCTGTTTCTGTAAGAAGCTGTACCTGTAAGAAGCTGCTCCAGTAAGAAGCTGTTTCTCTAAGAAGCTGCTCCAGTAAGAAGCTGTTTTTGCAAGAAGCTGTTCCTGTAAGGCGCTGTTTCTGTAGACGCTGTTTCTGTAAGATGCTGTTCCACTACGAAGCTGTTCCTGTAAGAACTGTTCCTGCCCTTGTGTCAAGCTATCCTGTATGAAGCTGTTCTGGTACCTGTATTGCATGTTCCTGTAAACTAAACAGTGCTGTACAACGATCTCCCGTAACAACCGTTACCGCAAGACGCTATCCATGTTAGAAGCTGTTCCTGCAACAGACGTCCGTAAACAACGTTCCCATACGAAGTGTTCCTTGGCCAGTCTAGTGAGTCACGAAGTGAGCCGTGTGAAGACTACGCTGATGTCCACCGAACTCATCGTTGATGTCCTTTAGTCTACCAACCCAGAAAGTGTATTTTGTGTGTGAGCGTGTGAAGGTGCAGCAGCCTGCTGATATATTGGACCAGCACTCCTGACCTACAATCACACTCTGGGGTAAGTGCCTTTTGTATCAGCCCTCGCGCGGTGCTCTCGGCAAGCAACTTACTCTGGTTTCCTTCTACCATTGGGCTTAGATATAACCGCGTGAAATCCTCTATAGTCGTAGAGATTAAGTAAACTTCCTGAGTGCCATTACTGGGGTTTCTAGGTAGGCTAGTTGGGAATTTTTCGTTAACATAAAGCATACACGGCAGTCTCGGCGTAAGCGTAACAAGCAGTTGTTACCTGCTAGCGTTGTAGTGGGCGTAACCCTAAACGCTGTAGTTACAATAGGTCGTACATTTGAATAAGACGTGTAAGACGTACACCCCCCTGGTCACGCTACACGGACCGCAATTAACCCTCCCGCTTAGTTGCGTGCCTGGACTTTCACTGACCACTACTTGACATTGCTCGTCTTTGATTTCGACCAATAGAAACTACCCGACACGCCAACCGGGACTGTGAAGTAGGGAAACACAATGAGCGGTGAAGATAAGCTGTAACTTGGTTATTACTTGACATTGGGCAAGAAGTATAAAATTTGCCAAGGGAGTAAACTATTAGAGTGGGCTGAAAATAAACAAGCAGAAGCAGAAGAAAAACAGAGAGGAAACAAAAATAAAGATAGAGTTAGCCGAACGAGAGGCTAAGAGAGCATTAGAAAAACTGAGAATAGAATCAGAAGAAATGGTTAAATTAAAAATCCTCGAACTGGAGCAACAAAGTTTGGGTAAATAACGGGTAGTTGAACAAACAAAATCATATGTCCCACGTCTTAAGATGATTGGCTTAAACAGTAACGGTGGTCCAATGGACATGGAAGTAGTGATATATATTTTTGAGAGAGAAGCTAGAGAGGTAGGGTTAGATCATAGATATTGGTGCCATGAGTTCAGGAAAGTTCTGTTAGACAGAGACTGTGATGCCTGGTTAACTGAGCTAGGAGCAGAAGAAGACTACACCAAATTAAAACGAGAAGTTCTGAAACATTTTGGGCTGACAGAGTCAGGCTACAGCAATAGGTTTAACTCATCCAAACCCAACTCTGAGGACAAACCAGGAAGCTACATTAGGAGAACTAGACATTATTTGAAGAGATGGGTCGAACTAAGCGGGATAGAGAAAACTTATGACGGTCTGTTTGATCTGATTCTTAAAGACAAAATCTTAAGGTCAGTAAGTAAAGACATCAGACAATATATACTAATACATAACCCTAGGACTGTTGACGAGGTGGAGAAACAGTGTGACAACTATTTCGCTATATTCCCGACAAAACAGCTAGGCGACTCTCCAGATGCACGGACAGAACTTATAGCTGCAATAGCAGAACCAATGCAATCAGTCTCAAAAGATGACCGACGTCTTAGTAGATCAAATTCACAGCACCTCAGACACAGCTATAGACACAACACTCGTAGCTCGAAATCACCGCAATACAGACGCCATCCTAGGGATAACTCTGGACCTCGCCGATTACAATTCAAAAGATATAGACAGAATTCTGACTCAGACAGTGATAGTTATGTCCAGTCAGTGGGTCCATCTCGACAAAGTACACGGACTTATAACAACTCGCCTCGACCACAAACTAAATGTTTTTCATGTGGCTTAAAGGGCCATATAGCAGCTGATTGTAATGTCGATTCCGAGCGTTCACAACGACAGGGGCGTAAAAAAATCACCTAAGGTGGATACGCACCAAAACAAACAGAAGAAGGTCAGTTTTAGAAACAACAAAAGATGTCTAGTCCCGGAGTTTAGTGGAGAGTGCGAAGATTGCGAACAGTGTCTCAACCAAACGAAGTTTACCTTGCCAATAGGCAACATATTTAGCGATCAGTGGGAAAAACGTTGTAAGGTAAAACTACCTATCGTCTCAGGGAAATTAGACAACCAGACAGTTACTGTTTTTTGCGACACATGTTCTGTAGTCATAGCGTGTAGGAAACAATTAGTGAATAGGAGCAGATGGAATCGTGGTAGGATGACGATTAAGACGGTGACAGCAAGAGAGTGCCTACAGCGTTGGTGAGCATTGAAACTCTTTACCTTACTGGAAAGTTTCTAGCCGTTCTTTTTGATGACCCTCCTGCAGATCTCATAGTCGGCAATGTAGGGGGAGCCAAGCCTCCATCTAACGAAGACCTTGGTATTATCGCTGCTGTAGAAACAAGAGGGAAAGCCAGAAATAAGAACAAACTAGATGCAATGTGTGAAAGTTGACGTGGAAACATTTAACTGCAAAAAGCTGTATTGAAATTACTAGCATGTCCTAGTTCGTATGGTTACATATATCTCTTGGCTTCCACAAATATATCTCATTAAAATGGTTCTCATTATTCTATGGTCGTATAGAGTCTTAAAGGAAAAGTAGGACCAGCTAAAACAAATCTTAATATAGTTTTAGCCACGATTAATTCTACTATTAAACTGTCCTTCTAGTAATCTGCAAAAACTTTTCGAAAACAAAATTACTAATAATTAAAGAAGATAATAAAATGGTAACTATTAATTACTGGATTTCAAATATTAAAAATATAAAATAAACAACTTTAGTATTCCTGTTTAAGATATGAGTAAACATAATAAAAATCGACAATGCAAAACCAACTTAAACAAATTCCAATATAGTTTTAGCTATGATTAATGCCTGTATTTAACTCTGCAACCTGCAAAAGCTTTTCGAAGACGAAACTACGACAAATAAAAGAAAATATTATAATGGTAACTATTACTTACGGTCACACAAAGCTGAAAAATATAAAATAATTGATTTTAGTTTTACTATTTTAAATATTAGTAAATATAATAAAAATTGACGTGCTAAGATTCTAAATTATTCAATAAAATTGCTAAACTGTTTTAAATTGTTTATTTATTAAAAACCAATGTAGCTTCCTGGGGGTAACATATTCCGCAAGTTGAATCAAATAAATTATGATAGGGACATTTATTAGCATCAGATATTTCTTAAGGACTATACAATTTTCAAAGCTATATATGGAACCCGTACTCGTGCTTTTGACAAACAAAATTTGAAACATTAGAGTTGAAATATTAGTATCTATGCCAGAATAGCTTTACACTGATTAATGCTTCAGTTGTACGGTTCTCTTTGTAATCTGTAAATAGTTTGCTAAAACAAAACTTCGCATAATAAATGAATATTTTAAAGCAGTAAAACCACCTAGTGGTTTCTATTTAATAGAGCTGACGAAAATGGCTCATATTAATATCTAAATATAAGGAGCCGCGAAGGATAAGTAACATAAACTTATGAATCTCTAAGTCTAGTTTTACCAAAGATAGCTGTTGAAATATTAATGCCGAGATAGTAATCTATAAAAGCTTTACAAAAACAAAACTACAAATTGCAGGAGTAGATTTTCAGCCACTAAATATTATGTATTTTGTATGTTTCAAATAAACATAAAAACAATTAAATAATCTTAATCTTTATCATTAACAAAATAGTGAAAATATTACAATTATAAAATGCTTAAAACGATTTTAATGCATTCCTACTATTACACGTATGTCAGATGTTCGTATCTGAAATCGATTTTTTCGATTGAAAGCGAGTAAAATGCCATTAGTCCGTTCCAACCCATAAAATGCCAGCCCAGTGTAGCATTTGTTTATTATTCAAAAGTGTATTGTACAAGCTAAATACTGTTAAATTATAAAACAATATTAAAAATTATGCATGTGTGAAAATGTTTTTGTCTAAAATTTCAAATGAAATGAGGAATAAGTACTTTTTTGGCAGTAATTTTCATTTTAAAAGGGAAAATGCTCGTGAAATTTTCAGCGATCACTTATTGTCTAGTAATCGGTCACAATTCACAAAAAATAATTAAACTGTAATTTAATCACACCGAGACTGAAATTTACCCATACACTCCTAACAACAGACGATACTTACGATATTGATTAGGATCTAGTATGCGCTCTAGCTGACATTTTTGTCCATAGGGAATATCAATTGTTGCTGAATGAATGAACAAAAATAAGACCATTCAACGGAAAATATTTTATGCCAAGGTTTTGATAGTCTTTAAAAATACGAAAAATATTTTGTTACCTTAAATCACATAATTTAGCTAACTGATCACCAGTGGCGGAACTAGAAATAAAGGGCCACCGCACAAAAATTTTTTGGGCCCCCATATATATATATATATATATATATATATATATATATATATATATATATATATATATATATATATATATATATATATATATATATATATATATATATATATATAAACAAAATACGAGCATAAAATACTCAATACGGGCTGGTTCGACCTGTATTTAAAGTGTCTAAAGAGCCACTATCATTTTTTTTAAATTTCAATATTTTATTATTTGATTAGGATTATGTAAATAAATTTGATTTGTAGTGCGCGGACCTTTGACCACAGGTGCTTTGACCATAGGGGGTTTGACCATAGGGGGTTTGATCACAGCGGGGCTTTTAACATAGGGGGTTTGATCTTAGGGAGTTTGACCATAGGGGGTTTGATCTTAGGGAGTTTGACCACAGGTGTTTTCTCAGTGTGGGGTCTTTGATCATAGATGGTTTATCAACGGGTGTTTGACCACAAGCGCTGTGTCCGGCTTTAAATACAGGTGTTTTTTTCCATATAGGGTCTTTGATCACATGTTTTTTTGTCCATATAGGGTCTTTGATCACAGGTGGTTTGTCCAATGCTGGCGTTTGATAATAAGCGCTTTTTCCAAATATTGTAATGATTTATTTTAAATGTTGTGTAATTATTTTTTAAATTGCGGCAGGATATAATAATATGTTAACTCATCATATATAAATACAAGTAATCTAAACCATACAATTATTACTTCTTTGACTACTCTGTTGGCATGTTTTTTTATCCTTTGTTATCATTTCTATTTATGTATTTTCAAGTACATCTACATTATTTATTTGTGAAACTTGTTATATGTCGCATTATTTGTGTTCCATTTAAAATAAATTCTATGAGGCGTAGCACCAGCCTTTATGACGGACATCACCGGCTCAGGAGGTGTCTGCCATTAGCGAGGCAGGCCTTAACACGGCAAACTCCGACTAACTGGCTTGGGTGTAGGTTTGATTACCGTGTATCGGTCGCTTCTGTCCTTTGGTTCTCACCAGACGTATCTTTCACCCCACTAAACTCGTACCCCACCCTCCAGTACCCGACTTAACCGTAGGAAGCTAATAACTAAAAATCTACGTCACACACGTCAAATTAATGATAACTGACAGATAGAGAGACGAATTCCGTATAAAATAACATTCCCCATTTAACGATATTCGATAAAATCGGCACTTGGGCAGCGGCAAGCATGAAATTGTTGTCACGTGGCTGTCCACAGCACGGCTGTGGTGCCTAAACGGCTGTCCGTATACTTTCTACTGTACATATTCTTTCTGTTCTCTGATGATTTTTTTTTACTCTGTTTAATTAAACTTGTGTTTCTTTACAGTATAATGTTATGTGTTTTGAAAATAAAATAATATAGCCTAACTCTTATTATTTGTACAAAGAGTTGGAGAGCCGCATTTAGACATCAAAAGAGCAGCATGCGGCTCGTGAGCCGCAGGTTGCCGACCCCTGTTCTAGATTAAAACGAATAATAACATTAGTACGAGTGCTATTAGTATGTTTTGAAATGTCTGACATAATGCTTTCTTACTTACAAATTGGTCAAAAGAGTATGAAGCATGAAAGCTTTGTATGTGTAATGGTTTCTCGGCTTATGTTTATTTTATGTTTTTTTTTGCATTTATATTATTAGTTTTTAATACATTTCCTTTTTATACTTTGTAATTCTTAATAATGTATTTTTTAAAATATAATAATTAAGAGAAGTAATTTCTTTTTAATTTGTTTAGTGCAAATCAATAAAAAGTTTCTTAAGAGCACGCATATTTGACTTTTTAACAAAGGGAAATAAGCCATGGAAGTGGTTTCAACGTTTGCCTATCTTTCACACTACAACTCATGTATATATTTTTTTCCTTAACGAAACAGCGTGTGTTAGCTGTTGTATAACACTACTGTAGTAGATCTGTTTTTTTTTACATAAAAATAATTTTATATATATTATATTATATTAAAAATATACATAGCGTAACTAAATGCTTCAAACTTTTAGGTAAAACGAAAACGAAATTTAGGCGGTTAATATTTTTATTTTCTATCTTGTTTTCCTTTAGAAATAAAACAAAACTATTTTTAAAAATGTTTTATGAAAAACGTAAGAATAAAAATAGATTAAAATTGCAAACAAATATGTTTAAAACATTGAAACAAAAAATACTACTCTAATATGACTGCATACTTTACCTAATTCATTTTTGAGGTCTGATACAATTTTTTCTGCTGCACAACGAGCTGTGTGTTTAAAAAAAATTGTTTTAATAAGAGACAAACGTATGTATTATTGAATTTAATGTCCTTCTTTCGTGAGGCTATTTAAAATGTGTGCACATTATTAATTCCTTCGAAAATAACAAGTATTCATTTATAAACAACAGTATAAAACGCATTAGTTTCTTACCTTGATGACTGCCTTTCAATTTCTCTTCCAAATTTGATTTTTCCAGTATAACTTCAAATAAGAATCAAAACCATTTTAACATAAAAAAAAGAAAAAAAAAATTAAATTTCTATAATATAAAAATAAAATTAATAATGCATAAAGCTGAACTGATGAAAACTATACATAATGCTATAAGCGTGTTAATATTTTATTTATAATTTTACGAAAAAAGTGTTGTTTAAATTAATCGTTTTTTTAAAATCAATACATAGTTTTGACATAGTTGTAACAAAGAACTATCGAAATCGGTTAAAGACAGAGGCAAATCGAGGGGAGGGGGGGGGGGGGGCGGGGGACGATATGTCCCCAGGCACCGTCCTTAGGGGGCGACAAAATGGGTTGGAAAAATAAATTGAAAGCTTGAGGGGGGTGCAAATCGAAAATTTGAGGGGGGAAGGGTCGCTACGCCTCTGTGTTGTATCGTGGTATGAGAAGTAACGCCAATTTTTTTAATGAGTGTTTTCTTTGATAGTTATGATCAGAGGCGTAGCGATGGGAGGGAGGGGGGGACAGGGGGGACATACGTCCCCGGGCGCCGACCTTAGGGGGCGCCAAAATGGGTTGCAAAAAGTAATCGAAAGTTTAAGAGGGGGTGCAAATCTAAAGTTTGAGGGGGGAGGGGTGAAAATCGAAAGTTTGAGGGGTCGGTGCAAGTTAAGCCATTTTTATAAAAATATTTAAAAAAAGAAGTCGTGAGGTTCGCTTTTCTATGTGTTAAGTTTGAGACCTCTTAACAATTATATTAAAGGCTCAGGATAGAACGCCGTAAGAAAAAGACAGTGAAAGTCAATGAAATTGTGGGGTGCACAGCAGAAAGTTGCATGACAAGAGCCAAAACAACGAGAACGTAAAACAAGAACGGAAAAAGTGGAAATAGCTTTGTGATTCTGCCACGTGTGCCCTTTCAACTGATGGTAAAAGATGATAATGTACATTGACTATAAAATAAATTAAACTTCGACATCAAGGAATACTTTTCTCCTATTTTTAACTTAAAATGTATTACCAGATGAAATAAATGTATGCCGTGTGTGTTTTTCGCGTGTTCCAGTTGTATTTACACATTGTTATTTTAAGCAATTGTGAAAACTTAAGAAGAAGCATAAACTATAGAAACTATAGGAAAATTGTGCTTTATTTTTTCTTTTTTCACCTTAATCAAAACAAATTTAGCATTAAAAATGTTAAAAACGTACATTCTTTTACACTATTTTCAAGGGTCTGATTTTGTTGAAACAGCTGTTTATTTTTGGTTTCCTCGCTTTCTGTAAATATTTTGAATAAGAAATGTGTTATACTTGCATATGTATTATATATATATATATATATATATATATATATATATATATATATATATATATATATATATATATATATATATATAATAAAAACATGTACATTAATATATTGGAAAAACATTTCATTTCTTTACAATAAATCAATATGAGTTAATAATATACATCGTCTTTTGAATGAAATTAACCAATAACAAAACTGATATGGTGTGGTGACGCAAGTTATAAGTCATAGAGGTCAAGCAGAAGGTAGTAGAAACAAAGCATAACGTAGTCAGGTAGACCATACAATTGGAGGAGATGACCGGTCACGTGGGTGGTCAGATGACCACTGTCGGTGATAGGTAGCGATAGAGAACAGTCGGAGATATGTCGAGTTAGGGAACAGTTGGGGATCGGTAGCGTTAGAGAACAGTCGGGATGTGGAAGGAGTTGAAATGTGGTGTTAGAGTTGGCAATGAGAGCGTGTAGAGAGTAGTGTTACTTGTATAAGAATGTATTAGAAGACAGTCATGTGTCAGTAAGTAGTTATGGTAGGAGTCAATTTGATCGGTAAATAAAGAACTGTATTATATTGAATTGGACCATTTGTGTTGATTCCATCACTAAACTGTGTAAGGCTACACAAATAAGAAGAGGCGATCCACTTAGCAAGAATATATACTGTATTTTCATTACGAAGCTTTACACTTATATAGAACCAAACTTTCTACAAGCCTGCATTACAGTTGGTGGTAGAACTGAAATTATCTTATTTGATAGAACAGCGTTCGCTTAAACTTGCACCCTCATATCTGGTGGTGTATCTTCTGCCCCACCCTCACATTTTGTGAAAAATAACTAGATTCAACGTTAACTATACCTACCAAACATGAAAAACGTCACGCTTTCCCAATCTTACTAAAGCTTCTGCCCAAAAGTTACCATACTATGAAATATGAAACTTACAATATGAACTAAATTTTCTTTCTTGCTTACTTTTGTCCTTTCCTATACTTGGGGTATTAAGGCTTAGAGTAACAAAATGATTCTTTTTCTTGTATGAGTTATTGTATATTTGTGGTCAGTGGTTAGCGCTTCAGCGTGGCCTTAGAGGACTGTCTATTAATATATTTGAGGTGTAAGTAGTTTAGCTCTGAATGTGAATAGCATGAAATGAGGTGGTGATGACTAGATTTGGCGAATGATAGAGATTCCTGATTTTTTTTTAATAATGTGAGATATGGGCTTTGGTAATCGTTTATCACGTTTCGAAATTTTTCTGCATGTTCACATTTTTAAGATCCCGAACCTCGAACACACTATATTTGAGTACGCCTTGATAATGGTTTTGTACAAAAAAATGATCTAATGAATCGGTGGTTGGTATGCAATAATTAAAACACGCTAGTCAATTAGGGGACATAACGCTTATTCAGAAGGTTGTATATGGGTCCAAAACACATTTAAATACGTTTAAATAGTTACATGGAGGATAATAAAGCTAATTTAAATAGTCGATGGGAAGGTATTAAGCCATTTATTATATTTTATTGAAACAGTTTTTTGTATCATGACCTATGAGGTCTGCTTCTTTTTTAAACTGAATAGTTGGCTCAAATGTAATCGCTACCTATCGGTATCATATTATTAAGTAAAGAAAAATATATAAGAGACGTCTACAGAAAATAAAGAATTCCAGATGTTAAATTATAGTAACATTTTAAAAGCTCAACTATTTCAGCCAATAAATGAATTAAATGTACACATTTTCTAGCATTTTTTTCTCTCGTATGGAAAATACCTGCCACAAAATAGGTAAAAACTATAAAAAAGGAAATTATTTAAAAAAAAAGTTCGTGACACTGTCTAAATTCATAAATAGGCCTACATGTATTAGAAAACAAAAAAATAAAAATAAAACGACCGAAAGAACAAGTAAATAAACAAATAAAACACAAGCAAAAAACATGCAAGAAAACAAACGTACACATAAACAATCAAAGAAATAATCAAAAGAATAAACCAACAACCAACCAATCAACCAACCGACCAATTAACCAAAATAACCAACAAACAAACAAAAAAAACGAACAAAAAAACGAATAAACAATAAATGAAAAAAATAATATAGAAAGCTTAGTTATAATCCTTTTCAGTATGGATTATAACATTGGGAAGATTTGCGCACACTTTCTTGGTTAATTGAACTTTCCTATACAAAAAGATATCAAGGACAAAATAAAGAGAAAACTACTAACCTAGACTTTCATTAAGGTTTAACGCCATTGTTTTATGGGTGTAAGCTTCTGTAAGAAGAAAATAGTCATAAAATGAATAACTGTACCTTACTTTTAAAATATATTTTCCCACACAAGCCATGCCTCACATATAGAGTGTATTATTTTATTAACGTCACTTTGATCTTAGAAGAAAAGGAATTCATGTATACTCATTATTATAAAATATAGCTATTACCAATGACACATATCTAGATGCGTGACCTAAGTTTCTATCTACGCCTATCGCTATCGTTGTTGTAATTACACATGCATATTGCACCAGAAAACAAAACCAAAAAACAAAAAACCGTAGAAATTTGGATCATGTTAATCAATCTCTGCAAAGGTGAAGTAAATCACCACTCTTCAACCGCCCGGGTTACAGTAGTGTCGCGAAACGCTCATGTGAGCCTCCGATTGAACTATCAAGTGACCGTTAGTAATACCCTGTTAAGGTTTAGAAAAAAAAATTGCTATTCTACCTGTATTGCGCTCTTTAAATTCAAATTTATATGCTAAGACGCCTTGAGTACTCCTAGATACATGATTGCACAGAACGCCAAATTAACTGGCACCTGGTGAAACTGGCCAAACAGCGTACTAACTCCAAGCAGAGATTCTAGCGGGTATATTGTTGGGCTGGGGTTGTACTCCTCTCACATTTATCCCACCCAAATTTTAAATAATTATAGAACATATACTTTTACCAGCGTTTCCCGTCTCTCCTCCAACCTCCCCCATTTTTGAAAAATATTTGAAATAAATCCTTCGCATCATATATTGATTTTCTTTTTTATACTAGAAATCTGAATGAAGAAACGGAAACAACCATGTTACTAATAGTTTGCAAAGTAATCTGACAAAATCACTTTTCTTTATTAATAAATGCGTTTTACTTATTAAACTTTGTCAATTACAACCTGATTTGTTGCTGCCCTATACTCCACAGGGAGTAATGAGGATTAAGTAAGTAATTTCAACCTGAAGCAAAAATTGGTATCTTGTCAAAGTTGGCTAAGCGCATCATTCGAATCGGTACAAAGTACGCCCTGTACTAATGATCCGACCAGTCAGAAATTATATTATCCAAAGATATAATCATGTGTTTTATGTTTAGACTACCTTAGAAGTAGATTTTATCATGTTATTACCTCTAACATTCAAACAAGCAGAGGTCATATTAAATTTGACAAGTATGTCTGTAGAACTAAAACTATTAAGATTTGTGCAGTGACCAATAGATTTTTATAATTTAATAAGATTAGTGCGAAAAGATAACATTTCTATCGATTGCAATCTGTATTTACCAGTGTTACTATTTGGAGCCTAAGCGGGAATAAATTACATTAGGTCAAAAATCAAAAATAGAATGCACATACCTTGATGACTTGCTTCTAATTTGTTTTTCAAATCTGTGTTTTCTAGATTGATTTAAAATTATTGAAATCATACATTTAAAAAAAAAATAGTTGCATGTTTATTGTCTAATTATTATGAGAATATAAAATAGAAAATTGATTCAAATGGACAATACCAAAGCTCATGGAAATATAAAATAGTATACATATATTTTTATAGTTAAATAATAAGACATTTACTTAACTTTATGACCTTGTAAATAATAATACCATACGTTATGAAATTGTATATACTGCTAAACTAAATATACACATATTTAATACCGTGACAATATGCCTTCAATTTCTCTTCTAACTCTGTTTTTTCCAGTGCATCTTAAACAAAAAAAAACACCTAATAGTTACGAAAACATAGGACTATAAAAATTATTTACTTTCTATACAAATCAGACACGAACGAAGGTATTTACAAAGATGAGATGAACTGTGGTTTAATCTTGATTTAAATGTATAATTTCTTTAACAAATTTAACAAAATTGCAAATAGTAGGCTACACACTTACATTGTTGAAGCTTGCATTCTTTTTCTCGCACAATATTTCCTAGCTGTTTATTTTTATTCTCCTCATTTACTGTTATAAAATGTTATCACTATATCAGTCATACAAATGGCCTTATATAAATTAGAATAACATTTTATACTACATATTAATTAATTATTTAATTAGTTGCTTTAGAAAAAGTAAAACCTTGAAGAATTACTTTTGAATGAATTGTTATTATCTACTTACACTAAAAATGTTAGTAGATCACAGAAAGCTAACATGGTTAAACAATAATGGCCAAAAATACACTCCGTAACTGCTCTATAAAAGAAAGGCAAGGGCCGTTCATTATTGGCTCAAGTAATGCTTATTTAGTATGCAGGACATAGAAACCATGTTACAAACAACAAACCACTTGGTTTGTAAATGACGTGAAGTTTGGTGCAGCACATTTGACTTTGGGGCTGTCAAGCATGTATTCTTCCAACTCTCAACACTCCGTACAAAGCTTTTTTTCAACTATACTAAATATATGAATGTACCATGACTTTTTCCTTTCTTTTTGAATTTAGATAGCGTATATATATATATATGGATCTAGCTAAAATAGAGGCTGAGAAGGGAAAAGTTAAAATGGAGGCTGAGAAGGAAAAAGTTAAAATGGAGGCTGAGAAGGAAAAAGTGAAAATGGAGGCTGAGAAGGAAAAAGTTAAAATAGAGGCCAAAGACAAAAAAAAACAGAGACAATTAGAAGATAGAGAAAAACAGAGGCAAAATGAATTAGAATTGGCCAAAATTAAAAGTAACCAATTTCAAGACAGCAATGTTAACACAACGGACAATTGTAAGCCTAAATTCAGAGTTTTTAAACCACAGGAAGAAAGTGTGGAAACTTACTTAATACTCTTTGAGCAATCATGTAAGAGATTTAATTATTCATCCGCAGGGAAGGCACAGGCCTTATTGACTAATTTGACAGGAGAGACTATTGCCATAATAGCAAGTATGTCTGAGACTGAAAAAGAAGACTATGATCTAGTAAAATAAAGACTGATGACACATTTTGGAAAGACAGAAGACTATTACAGAAAGACTATAAGAGACGCTAGAATTAACAACACTGGTGACATAAACCAGATCATTTTTGATATTTGCAAATGCATCAAGAAAGGGCTAGAATTGGCAGAAATAGATTTAAAGAAGCCTGAAGCAATTATTGAACTTAACCTGATAGATCATGTTTTAAATAATGCAACAGATAGTCTATTCACTTTTTTGAGTGAAAGAAAAGTTAGGACACAAAAATAATTAATAGAGCAGCTTAATATTTATAAGGATGCACATCCAGGGGCTATTTTGGACAAAAGAGAGCAGGGAGAGATTTCAGCAGCAATCTACAGTAGAAACTCTGGCAGGGATCAAAGAAGGTATGGCAACAACAATAGAGATAGAAGTAATAGTGCACCTACCAGATGGAAACCAGACAGATATAAATATAGCAGAAGCACAGAGTGTTACCACTGTGGGAAAACAGGCCATGTAAAGTCTGAGTGTTTCAGCTTACAAAATAGAGATACATATCTCAGCAATAATGACAGAGGAGGTTATGAACCTAATAATAAATATAGAAATCAAAGTAATTCTTACAGACAAGGACAGTATAGTGGACAAAGTAGAAGTGAATTCCACACTCAAAGTAGACAGCCAAGAATGGGACCAGACTACAGGGGAGAAAATAGAAATAGTAGAAATAACAATCAAGAGATATCAGCAGGGGTAGAAGGGTAGGAGACGGTGGCATCTGTTAGACAAAGCAATACAACACTGAAGATGTTCCCAGCTATAGTAAACAACGTCAGAGTAATGTGCCTGAGAGATTCAGGTTGCACATGCATTATTGTTAAGAAAAGTCTTGTAAGACCAGAACAGTACATTCCTGGAATAATGAAGATGACATATGCCAACAAGAAATTTAAGGATGAGTGTGAGATAGCAATAGTTGATATAGATTCTGCTTGGCTGAAAGGTAAATATAAAGTGGCGGTCATGGAAGAACCAATAGCAGATATGATTATTGGGAATGGAAAGGGGGTGAAAGAAAGTAATGAGGAAGATATAGATAGATGGGAAAGTCAAATTGGAGCAGCGGTTGAGACAAGAGAACAGAAACAAGCAAATCAGGGAAGTGGGGGCAATGAGGAAAGCAACACAGAATTAATAGAAGATATAAATGAATGGATAAAACTTCAGGAAGAAGACAATACTCTCAAAAATATACTGAAAAAACATCAATACAAGTAACATGAATGTCAGGGGATCTAAGTACACTTACGAAAATAATGTTTTAGTCAGGAAATATATTGATAACAAGAATAATGAAAAGACTCAGATAGTAGTGCCACAAACTATGAGAACAAAGATATTACAACAAGCACATGACAGTCCATTGGGGGTACACATGGCAGAAAAAAATACATTTGAGAGAATAGCTAAAGATTACTACTGGCTTTTAATGAAGGAAGACATAAAGAAACACATACAAAAATGCACCAAATGTATAAGACTCAATCCTGTTGATGGGAAACATAATGCACCTCTACAACAGACAGATAGAGTTACAAGACCATTCCAAAAAATAGCAGTGGACATAGTTGGAGCTATGGAACACCCTACTTCCCAGGGCGACAAGTTCATATTAACTATAGTGGATTGGGCAACCAGATGGCCAGAAGCAATACCACTTAGAGAGATTACAGATGTAGCTATATGTGATGCTCTGATGGGTGTATGCACAAGATTCGGTTTTCCTGATACGATTTTATCAGACAGTGGAACACAGTTTAAAGCCAAATTAACAAAGGCATTCATAAGCTTCTTGAATATTGCACAAGTACATAGTACCATATACCATCCACAAGCAAATGGGATTAATGAGAGATGGAATAAAACACTGAAGATTATGTTAAAAAAGGTAACAGAGGATCACCCAGGTGAATGGCACAAGTATTTATCTCAAGTGCTATTCGCATACAGAGAGACTAAACATGAGTCAACAGGTTTTTCTCCTTTTGAATTGATATATGGGGTAAAGCCAAGAGGCCGATTAACTTTATTGAAACACTAATTATTAAATAAACATGAAGAGGAATTTGATCCTCATAAACTAGTAAACCAGACTAGAGAGAGAATAGTTTATGGTGTCCAGACAGCCCAAGAGAATGCACAGTTAGCCAGTGAAAGGCACAGAAATATAAAAAACAAACATAGATATTTAAGAACTTTTGAAAGAGGAGATTTAGTTTTTGTCAAACTGCCAGACAGAAAAAAAATAGAAGTATTTCAAGGACCTTTTGAAGTAATAAAGAAACTATCTGATGTAAATTATGAAATAAACATAAAGGGAAATAACACTCCTATACACATAGACAGAATAAAGAAATTATATGTAGAGCCAGAGAAACAGATAGAAGAGGAACATATGGCCTGTACTATAATAAGTGAAAGCTGTAATACACAAGAAATTAAGACTAATTATATCCCAGTGAATGAGAAAAAAAACATAAAAGACAAAATAATAAATGAGTACAAGGATGTGATTACAACAGAAATGGGTTTTACTGAAACAATTCAACACAAAATAGAATTGACTGATTATAGTGCTATGAAAGGGAAGCATTACCAAGTACCAGTTGCTTATAGAGAAGCTGTTGAAGCAGACTTGGATTTGCTACTTGAGTCTGGGCAAATAGAAAGAACAGAATCAGCATACTCATCAACCATGGTGATAGTAAGAAAAAAGAACAACAAAGTAAGGATATGTTGTGACTATCGAGAGTTGAATAAAAGGACTAAGATATATGCTGAACCCATGAATGATCCTAAAGACATTTTGGAAACTATTAGTAAATCCTCAATTTTCACCACTTGTGATTTGAACAGAGGCTTCTGGCAAATAGGACTGGAAAATGAGTCAAGACAATACACCGCCTTTACATAGAGCAAAGGTCTACGTCAATGGAAGGTGTTGCCGTTCGGACTTGTGAACAGTACAGCAACGTTCCAAAAATTCATGAATAAAATGACAGAGGGAATGAAAAACCTGGTCTTCTTTGTTGATGATATATGCATACATAATAACACATGGGCAGAACACATACAAACACTAAAAGAACTACTAGAAAGACTTAGAAAACATGGGGTTACCATAGCACCAGAGAAACTGCATGTGGGAGTGGATACAGTAGAATTCCTAGGATTTAAGGTTGGAAATAAAGAAATTAGACCTACTGAAGGAAATAGGGACAAAATATTAAATATCAAAACTCCTAGTACAAAGAAAGAGGTGAAATCATTGTTAGGACTATGCAATTTTTATAATATTTTTGTGGATAAATATGCTGAACTTACTACTCCTTTAAGAGAATTGCTATCCAAAGACAAAGTTAAACTAGTATGGACACAGAAATGTTACAGTACTTTAAATAAAATAAAGGCTGAATTCATGAGTGACAAGGTACTGATGTCACCAGATTTTAGTAAGCATTTCACTCTTTTCACTGATGCCTCAAACCTAGCATTAGGAGCTTGCCTAATGCAAGAAAAGGATAATAAACTATACCCAGTACAATACCTCAGCAGGGCATATCACCAACAGAACAAAGATATGCAGTGATTGAGAGAGAGTGCCTAGCAATTGTGTGAGCATTGAATAAATTACAGAAGTATTTATTAGGAAGACACTTTACTCTTAGAATAGATCATAAGCCATTAATCACAATCAATAAGAAAATGATCATGAATAGCAAAATAAATAGATGGGCACTGATTTTATCAGATTTAAAGTTTGAGATAAAAACAGTAAAGGGACAGCACAATACACTAGCTGATTTCTTATTAAGACAGATTGAAGATGAAAAAACAAACATGGAACTTACTAAAGAAAATAATGACCTGAGATATATCAGCCAATCCTTATAAGGAAATTTTGAATAATGTAGTATGTAATGTGTACTTCCAGAGAACACTAATATTTTAAAAGTGTGAGCAAGATAGAAAGTAGTCATAACATGACTTGTATAAATATGTTTTACTACTATTTTAATTTAATAATGAAAATAAACATACATTTTGTTGTATTTCCTTGGTCTGTATGTATACTGTATATCTTGGTTTAACTTCAAGTAATGAACATGACTATGGCAGTATGAAAATTAGATGTGGTGATTTACATATGTTATGATGAGGAGTTGACCTCAAACATTGAAGTAGGGAAATCAAGGATATGATTTGCCCATGGGAGCTATTGCATAGCTATGATTTTACTCTACTAAGAGAGAGTTTTCCTTAGTTAGATTTATTTTGGGATACACTAAGAGGTAATATTCCTTAGTGAGGTTTAATGAATTTTTTTTGTTACACTAAGAAGAGATGTTCCTTATTTAGATTCATTTGTTATTATTACAGTAAGAAGGTTTGCCTTAGTTACAATTTTCCTTAAGGGCGATACTTATAAGATAAGTGAAGCTTTGCAATTCGCCATGTATTTTATGAATATCATTGTTTTAATTTGGTAAGTGTACATATACATTAATTTAGGATGTTCATTAGCAAGTTTCTTTTTCAATATGATTTTCATTTAACTGTTACATGTCTAATGAAGATTTTATAGTGAATGTGATGTATATAAGAAAAAAAAATTAATGAATTAATTTTTTAAAAGGGAGAAAGGGCATGTGTAACAGTGAAATGTAAGTGGAATGAGTCTGTGTTTTAAAAAGGCGATATGGATCAAGGATATAGTGTGGGTGTGCGCATGCGCTAAGGAAAGGAAGCAGAGAGGTAGATAGGGCGGGAGAACATGGAGATATTTTGGGAGTGAATGCGATGTACTTATGAACCAATAAAATTATGGAAATTACAGGAACAAGGGTTGATTTTTGTTTTGAGTGTGTGCCATGAAATAGGTAGGAGAAAAGGCTGTGACAGTAGGTCATCCCACGACCAAACTGTCCCTCACGTTTAAAACCAGGTGGCAAGATGTCGTATTTAACACTGAAGGCCAAGTCGTACAGAAATCCTCGTGTCTAGCGTCTGTCTACGTAGCTGTGTGAAATGCTCCAATTCTTGATAACGATGCTGTTTGTTTCGCGCAGACTATGTTCAGTTATCTTACGACACCCAAAGATTATCTCTTAACTGACATGCTTCCAATAAGTCAAAAACACTCATATATGTTGCACTGTACTGAGCTGTCTCTATGATACCCTTTACCTGGGAATTAGGAATGTTTATGTTTTTTACTCAGCCACTTTCTTTTATTTTTACTATTACTATGACGTTTGAGTTAAATGATTGAATCTATCCAGTGGTATATTTTTATTTAAATAATTTTTAATAGACCGCTTTTAAATTTAATAATTTATTAACATCTTTGTTTAGACACTCATTTTTTTTAAAATGCATTAAAACATACTTATTTGAAAATTTTATAATTTTGCAACTACGCAGAGTTATTTCCCTTTCGCCTTTTATTCTACGCTCTCGACGTGACCACTTTTTGTTTTCATTTTCCATAGGCTTAGTTGTCCCCGCTATTTTTACACTAAAATCGTCATATCTAGAGAACCGTTTATTCTATAAACATAAAATTGGTATCATTTTGCAACATTTAGCCCCCTTAATACAGCCCCGTCGTTACTTTGCTATTTTAATTATTTTTTTAAAAAAAGATGTGCATCCAGCTAATATAGATCATTAAAAACAAATGACATTAAATGTGTAATATCTATAATATGTGCTTTAAAACACGATATTAGAGACATATCTAAAAAAAATAATTGAATAGCTAAAACTCTATAAAACTATATAAAGCAATGTATGTCTGTCCAGTGTTTCTTCCAGACTTTTTTCTCCGGGGGGGGGGGGGGGAACTTGAACTTTTCGGGGGGGGGGCGGTAGACTTTCTTCGGGGGGGGGGGGGGCGGACACTGTTAAAAGTATATATTTTCTATATAAATTATATAAATTTCATTTCGTTCGGGGGGGGGGGGGGGCGGTAGAAGAAACTCTGATGTATGTCTTTCTGTTTGTCCTTTACTACACCTCTCATCACATCGCCGTGAAACTTTGGGAAGTTGTGAATAATCCTGGGGAGGTTTCTGCGAAAAATCAATTTCAAATTCGCAAAGACGGCGCCACGGGAGGGTGCGATTTTTCTCCATATACGGTATATATAAAAAAAAAAGTGAATTGCAGTGACACCGTTCCTCGCGATCGCCATGAAACTTTGGGAAGATGTTGAGAATATTCCTGGGGAGGTTTGAAAGCAAAAAACATTTTCGAATTCGTAGGGGTGGCGCCCCCGTAGGGTGCGATTAGGCTGCAAATAAAAATGTCTGTTTCGGCCCACAAAGGCTCACATGGGCCGCTGAGGGCCATTTAATACGTTTTATTTTAATAATCAGAAATCTTAACCAAGCTTAGATTATTAACTGCGATGTTTCTTTTTGTCTTTAAAAAAATCCAAACAGTTTCGACACTTTGAGAATTATGCAATTAGCATCTATTTTTAGATAATCCAAACAGAAATTGAGATCGAGCATCTAAGAATAGACCATTAGTAACGCTAACATATTGCATCAGTCACACTGATGTTTGAAACGCGTCAAATAATTTTTTACGTGTTAAATAACAAATCCTGTTCATTTGTGTCACTTTAACGAATATCGCATCATTGTTAACAGGATGCTATTTTAAGGAGCCAGGGGTCGTACTATGCGGTAGTGTAATCGGGGGGGGGGGGAGTCCTGAGAGCGGGCCTCTACGTCTCTGACACATGGGCGGTCACCGAAGTGTGCTCTACCACATTATTTCGGTGAGTGATTTATGTCTTCTATCCCCGCGGCAACGCGCGAGGGGTGGGTACGCTAGTATTTAATATAGTTTAATTTACCAATACCTATAAGAAAAATTAAAACCAAATGATATAAAAATAACATTAATTACAACAAAATATTTGGTGCATACATTAATTTAATGACTTAAATGATTCAAAGCTATTTATGCTGCTTTTTTACTTGTATTATATTTGGACGAGAAAATTTCAGAGAAAATTTCGACTTGTTACGTAGATCCATAAATATAAGTCAAATATCAATAAAATAGTTCATTTCTTCATACTCTAAATTTGGATGCCTTGTGAAGCAAATGAGAAAAAACTCCAAGTTGGCCGCCGTTGCCATGGCAACCATATTTTCAAATATTTTCTCTTAAGTACCCTAACTTGTACATACACAAATAAATAAGAAAGGCTTATTAATTAAAATTAAAAAGTTTTTTCCCGTTACTTTCCCTTAACAACATTACATCTGCACTAATATATATGTATATATATATATATATATATATATATATATATATATATATATATATATATATATATATATATATATATATATATATATATATATACTTCATTTGCCCCATAGACCGTCAGGTTTGAAAGGGAAACTTTATTTTACATATATATATATATATATATATATATATATATATATATATATATATATATATATATATATATATATATATATATATATTATATATATATAAATATATATATATTAAAAGCCCGAATGTATCAGTATTTTTTTTAAATATAGGACAGCCGCTCTTTGATTTTTACCACGCTTTTCTTAACTCAGCTTCGCGTTTGTTTGTGGGTTTGTTGTTAAAATTGACAACGAAAATTAGCCCACTTCTGATTGCCCTAGACATCTGAAATTCGGAATGCTGGCTATTTTCGCCTAACAATTTCAGATGCAATCATAAAATCTAGCAATTTGACAACCCAGGTTCGAATCCTTGTCACGGCATGTAGGCTGCTGTGGGTCTCGCACTGCCAAGCTCACATAACAATTTCAGATGCAATCATAAAAAACTAGCAATTAGAGACATAAATTAGCTTAATTTAATTACGCCCCTTCTCTGTTTAAAGCGTATCGGTCGTCCAAGATTTTTAGTCCGTGTATTTAAAAACACTTAGTCAAGTCATACTTAATGAAGTCATTAGATAAAGTAGAAAATAAACTATATACATTTTTTTTTTAAAATCCAAGTTTTTCATGTGTAGCAACGGACTAAAAAGGAGAAAATAAAATACTTAAAAACAAACTTTAAAAAAAAACACGTTTTTCTTGTGGACTAAAAAGTAGAAAATAAATTTTTCTTCCGACCCTAGGGGATCTCCCAATGACTGCTCGTAGATATTGTGCTTCCTCGAGCTGTGCAGGTTCTTGTGATGACTGTTCATACATTTGATGACAAAAAACGTGGGTCGGGCAGATGGGTCGGGAAATTTGATGGTGAACGTACCCACGTTTTTTGTCATCAAATGTATGAACAGTCATCACAAAAACCTGCACAGCTCGAGGAAGCACAATATCTACGAGCAGTCATTGGTAGATCCCCTAGGGTCGGAAGAAAAATTTATTTTCTACTTTTTAGTCCACAAGAAAAACGTGTTTTTTTTTTAAAGTTTTTTTTAAGTATTTTATTTGTGTTGTCTATTCTACGTGACTGGATGTCGGAAGATATCGACCCGTCATCAGCATTAGTTACCTAATGTAAACATAAAAACAAAATCAAGCAAACAATGTGATAATCGCCAGACTTGAGTTTAAGATTAGCTCGATCACCCTAACAGATCAGCTGCAGAGTGTACGTTTATAAATATTTTTTGTGAAGAAATTTCGATTACAACATGTGATCTAAATTAAATGGGCATACCTTTTTCCTCCTCGAGTTTTTCAAAAGACAACTTATAGTCAGAACATTCTTCCTCGAGTCGCGCTAGTTTGGTTTGCACCTCCTCTATTAGGATATGAAATTATACAAAGTACAAAATATATGCGTGAAATGGCGGGTTATTACATTTCTTATATCGAATCAATTCAAATTAATTTTTTTTCGGAGTTAATTGCCTCAATGGCGCATAACAAGTTGACACGTAATCCTTAATTGTGATGAAAGCATGGTCGAGTCGGCAAAGCTCATGTTTGATAAATTCGAAAAAAGTCTCGAGTTCAAACCCTCTGGCAGATAAGGCTCGATCCCTAAAACACTAAAAATTAAGAACAAAGAAGAAGAAGAAATTAATTTTTGAATGAATATCGAATGAAAATTAAATAAATTAAATATGGTAATTTCTATCAATAATATTTAATTTTTATCATTTCTAAATTATTCGAAGATATAACTATAATTCCATGTTTTGCAATTTCAAAAATTAAAATTCCTTGAAAAATGTAGGCCTACTGGCCTAACGGTTTTTTTAAATAATTTTCATACTTTATTCAACATGCATTGGTATTTATTGATAATCGAATATTAAAACTAGTATTAATATTATTTAATTACTTTTATATTCGCTGTGTCCAGCATTACTGTATTTAAATCAGTGTTTATTGGTTCATAATAATACAGATGCTAATATAACACTCACTCAATGGGGAAGCTTATTACCCACGGAGGTGTTGTGTTTAAAATGGCTGACCCTGAGATATAGCACACACTGGAACGACGCTGTTGTTGTCAAGTACTGGCTTTATAGACATGCACGTCAAGCCGAAAACCGCGATGTAGGACAGTAGAACAGTAGAACACAGAAAAACAGTGTTGAAAATAATGTATAAAACAGAAAAACTGTAGCCCTTCATGGTCTACCTATAGCCAACTTCACCCTCCGTGTCCACAGCAGCCTTGGGTCTGACTGACACGGCCACAGGCACGAACTACCCATAATCCCATGTCACATGACATGGAACACAGGTAAAATTCGCGCACCGAAGAGCGTGAAAAAAAATACATCAACAATTGCGGTCCCACAGGGGCCGCAACCCAATAAATTACAACTTATTATTCCCCCCCCCCCCTGGCTGGTAACAATGATATGTGTTACACTAACAAACTAATTATTGCCTCATGCAACATGACCCCCTTGCTCCCAATGACCACATTCTTATATCATAACACACTATACAAATCAGTATGACCTAATATTATGTTTTATGGGTCAGCTCTTGTGTATCAGCAAAATAATTTTGGTATTGACGAACATCTGCATGCAAGTAAAAAAAATAATGGATGATTTGATTAAAAACGGCTTTGTCCTTATATCAATCATTTAGCAAGTTGCATTTCCATAACAGCGCAAAAAAAAAGTTGAATTGTTTAAAATGAAGTCTTACTATTACATAATTCAGCAGTTTTCTGCTATTAGCCATGTATTAAATGTAAAACATCAGCAGAAACTAAAGTATTAAAGTATTACAAAATAATAAATATATCAGCAATATAAATAGACAATCTTTATATGTCGTAGAGTCTTATTTAATTTACCAAGCAGTGTAGTTAAAATTTGCAAAACATCAAAGTAGAATACATTTTAGAAAAAAAAAATTCTACGTTGCTTTTAACCATTAAGAATAACTTGTGGGTTTTAAAATACGATATATGTTTAAACACTAAATAGTCTTTCATCTTCCAACATTTTTAACATTTTAAAAAACATGACAACAACATTAATAGCCCACCTTGCTTTTTTAACAGCTCTGCGTAATCACTGAGATGAACAAAATGTACTGGTGTTGTCGCAGCTGTTAATATTGTTTAGTGTACATATACTTTTGCGTGTGTATATATATATATATATATATATATATATATATATATATATATATATATATATATATATATATAAAGAATAGGTGTATGATGTTTAATCTTCATATATATAACAGCATAAAAAACAACGATCCTTTAGATTACTGTGTGTTTGCATATTTCCAGGTGTAAAGCTATTAAAAAAATAAAATCGATATTTTGTTATCCACTTTATCGTTAAACTGTCGTGTCGAAAGGAATTGATTATGTTGTAGAAATTACATTCTGCGAGAGCTCTGCTAGTCAGAATATATTGAGTCTTTAAGGAACAAACAGTCTCAGTTTCAATTCAAATACTCTTGTTAATTGGTTAAGACTGTTTCATTAATTTCTTTGTAATTTAGATTGAGTGCGCACTTATAAATACATTAGGCTTGCGATAATTCCGATCTTAGCCGTAGCATCCTGAAAGTTTGGCACTAATTTCATCAACTCTCATTAACTATTGAACATTTGAAAAGATAAAAATTCAAGGATAAACAAAAGCGGTTAGTTACCAGAATCACTTGCAAGTTGCGATTCATTCTCTTCTTCTCTAAGCCTTCGTTTAATCTCGTTTAGTTCGTTTTGAACTTGTTCTGTTATAAAACGACACGTGTTTGAGAGAGAGAGAGAGAAAGAGAGAGAGAGAGAGAGAAAGAGATATGTTAGTCATCTATCTTTAAAACAGAAACCGAATGTAATAACTTCTCAGCTTATTAGATATAGTTTACCAAGCTGTACTTTCAGTTTCATCGATTTTTTTCTCTGTACAAAGTGATCATCTGTGAACAAAATAAGCAAAAACGTAAGTTTTATAAGCTACATATAGGCCTAACCAGTTACTAAATATTTTAGAATGGCTTGATAGCAATTTAATATCAACACTGGTACAATGGAAACGCCTACTGCATCAATATAAATGAATCGGTGCATACATATAAATATATATATATATTATATATAAATATATATATATATATATGTATATATATATATATATATATATATATATATATATATATATATATATATATATATATATATATATATATATATATATATATATATATATATGTTTAAAAAATAGGTCATTCAAAAATGTTCTAGCATAAAAAAAAATTAAAATACTCATATATACAGAAAACTTTTGTGCTTTTAAATAGTCAAATTTAAATGACAAAACCTAGCTCTAAAAGAATGCATTTTTTATTTAGTATTTAAATATTCTTTTTTAGCTTAAAAAACATGTGTTTCTGAATGCACCCTATTTATATCAGCTATTTTTAATGTGATGACTTACCGGATAATTTCAATAGCATAGATGAATGGTCATAAGGATGCTGAATGGATGTCATCCCTCTGGTAAATAATGGTATACCAAGATGCCATGAGATCTATAAATGGAAAAAAACATCACAATACTTAATTAGACACAGTGCTGTATTTTAAAATGCAGTGGGGTTTTTTGTGTGTTAACTATTGTATAATTGCAGTCATGGTTTTTTAACTTTTTTTTTAATGTTAACTTTATAGACAAGACAAATGGTATACTAATTATATTATAATAGATACATTGCATCCAGCTTCATTAGAAATTGTATATAAATGGCTGTGTAGAAAATCGACTGTAAAATATTCGAATTCAAATATAGTTTTCTGTATTCATTATTTATTTCCCTTTTATTATGAAGAGATTCAATTGAACGTGATTAAAAATCTAACACTGCTCTTAAACTATACATTGTGACATTAAATCTAAAATAGAAAATACAGATAATCAAACGAATGATTCATTATTTACACATTTTCAAAGTTAGAACCTAATTTAATAATAGAATTCGACGCGACATGCTTATTTTAAAAAAATCCCCTTAACACTTATTAAGTTAAACAATATCCACACACAATTTACTGACATAAAAATATGCTCCTAAAGGTGCTCTGTCAAAACGGCCCGGGAAGAATCGGCCTCGCGAAACGGCCCCGTTAATATGACCCAGTCAAATCGACCCCCGACAAACCGACCCCGTCAAAATAGCCCCGTCAAAAGGCCCCCGACTTATTGGCTCCCGTCAAATGGGCTCCCGTCATATTGACTTGCGGCATATAGGCTCCCGACAAATGGGCTCCCGACATTTAAGCTCCCGACAAATGGACTTCCGACACTTGGCTCCCGACAGATAGGCTCAGAACATATTGGCTCCTGACAAAGCAGCTCCCGACATATTGGCTCCCGACATAATGGGCTCCCGACATATTGGCTCCCGACAAATGGGCTCCCGACAGTTGGGGCTCCCGACAAAAGGACTCCCGCCATAATGGCTCCAGATAAAATGGCTCTCGACAATTGGACTCTAGACAAAAGAAATCCAGACATATTGGCTCCCGACTAAATGACTCCCGACTTACTGGCTCACTATAAAATAGCACCGGTTAAATAACTCCAGACTTAAAACACTTCTCGACTAAGAAACCGTTTTCTGAGGAGTTATCGCATTTTTATCTTTAAAAAGTTTGCTTTCTACAAAGTTACGAATATTGTAATTTTATATTAACCTGATTTAGGTGCATGCTGAGCTGTTGTTTACGCCACACGACCCAAGCTCAGCTGTTTCTGTTTAAATTTAGCATGCATGTTACACATTTTGCGTTTGTTGTCTAAGATTTTCACATGTTAATTTCAATCTATGGATGTCCACATGGACTCCCTTCCCTCCTTCCAAGTCCATGACAGTCGATGTTAATCGACACTCCACCCAACATGTTGACGTCATAAAATGATGACAGCTAGCAATCATGCTTTTGACAAATTGATCCCTGGACTACAAAAACAACAAACAAGGATGTTAACAATCATACTAGTTAGTATTACAAGGCGTGGGGGGGGGGGAGGGGTGTGTGAATTAGATGCACTTAAAACTTAAAACTATGCAAGTAAATTAATATAATTAGTACTGTGTAGTGTCTGAAAAAATGCGCTGAAGTGGTGCATGTTGCTAGGAAGTAGTTCATAAACGATACATTTATCTACTCGATACTTACGAGGCTAAAAAGAGGGGTGGGATGGGGGTCGGCTCGGGAAAAAAACTTATGTACGTCAGCATCGCCCATTGTAAAACTTACTCTGGGGAGCTAATTCCATGTATAGGCCCTAAAAGTTTCCTATTATATCACTTGTAAAAACAAAAAAAGTAAACGTATATAAAACTGAAGTTTTTAGTATTATATTATTTATTATTATTTGTAGGATACAAGATAGTACAGGATACAAATTTAACCACTATCGCAAGCACCTATTAACATTGAAAAATGTATAATGAATTTCGGGCCACTAACCAATCTCGCAAAGAAGAACCGCGCATCACGAAAGCCCACTTCATATGTAGCGGCTTCTTGTGCTATGGACTTTGTTGTTTTTTTTTTAAAGAATTTTGCCGGCGACAGCGTGTTTTTGATTGTAGGGAAATAGAACTCGGCCTTGACGATGGTTAAAAAATACAGTTATAAATAACTTTTTTAAAATATATAAATACATTTGACGACATTTTTTGAGCCCCCTTTTAGGTGCCCAACCCCTGCCCCATCCGCCACAGTACGCTTTGGAGGATCGGTCAAACAGTTACGTGTCCTCTATTTGGCTATCAAAGGGGGGCAACGAGTCAAAAAAGTCATATTTTTTTAAATAACCTGGAAGCATATTGACTGTAATTGTATCGAAACCCGGCTTGTGTATAATGGGCTGCAGCATCCTACACCCCTAATTAGAAATGTAACAGTTGACCACTAAAGTAAAAATAAATACAGTACAAGAAATACTTTTTTTTTTTTAAATTAAGACATTGCGACCTAAAGCTAAGGACGCTTTATTATCTTAGGGTTATTTCTGTAGTCCATCGAGGAATGGGTGATGTTGACATGAGCCATTATCATTATGTCGGGAGCAAAAATGACGAGCCTTTTTGTCAGGAACCATATTGACGGGGGCCAAATTGTCACAAGCCTAAATAACGTATTTAAAAGTATTTAAAAGTATTTAATTTAAATGTACATCCGGAAAAATAGGTTTGGATCTTAGTTGTAGGGGCGCGGGCTTTTCCACACTACTCAAGTGTGCTATTTATTTTCATGTTAGTTATAGACATGGTCTATACTATCGTTCTCTTTACTGAAGTAGACTGTATTTTTTATTGTGATTATTATTGTCAAAATGCCAATATTGAAGTAGGCTACATTTAGATTTTGTACGCCTACTCCCTTACACTTTTTTAGCCGCCTAACCAACATGAATAAAAGAGATTTGAATTAACCTCATAAATTTTATTTATTTCTCCATGATCAACGCAAAATAAAACATATTACGTTCGAATAACTTATTGGTTATTTAGAACAAATGCGACATGACGCAATAGGGCTCATGTAGGTTTTATTGAGCCGTAGAACTGTTTGGTAACCTACTTACCAGCCCTAAAGCATATAGGTTAACTATTGTAAATCAATCTGTTTACCTGTTGTTCTTCTTGAATAGCCGTGTCTAGTGAGCCTGTAATACACGTAAATTATAATATTAATACAATGCTGTACAAAATTTGATGTAGAGTTATAAATATTCACAATAACGATTAATTACAGAGGGTATTAAAAGTAAACGTTACATTTTAAACATCTTTTTTTTGCTGAAGAACGAGTCCACCTACCTTTGATCTCTTCCATTTCCCTGGCCACATGAGACAGTTTGACATCTCTGTCGCGGAAAACTCCCAACAAACGTGGGTACCATCCCTCGTACAGTGTCAGTCTCTCAAACACTAGCACACTGCCTTCTATCTCACCTTTAGTGTTAGTTGTTGCCTTGATCTCTGACTATAGAGAGAGAGAGAGAGAGTAAACAGTTTTAGGATGAGGATGTGTACGTGAATTAAAGACTACCGTTGTAAAATATTGTAAAATATTAGTTAAAATTTGTTTTGAACTGACATACACCCGAGGTCCAACTTCCAAAAAAAAAGCGAGAGAAGTTGGCAATTGTAAAACCATTTACTTCTATTTTTTTTACAAACAATTCCCCAGTCAACTGCATACTACGGCTCACCCACCGACCCCTGACCCGGCAGTTGGAATATCTAATCCTGCTAGATCTAGTATTTGATATCCAAGGGTCTTAAAGGGGCATGTGACAGATCCATCGCTGAAACCATAAGAGGAAGATAATAGATATGTATATCTGTCTTTAGTCGTACTACATGCAGTGTAGCTCCCATCTCCCTTAATCTTCAACAGGATACCGTCGATTCCCGATTGGCACATATTTTTGTAATATGTTCTACAGTGTAAACATTTATTTTAAATGAACAGTGTTCTTACGCTTTTTAAATTATAATTAATTTTGTTTTTAATTAGTAACAAATTTTACTATTGTTTACATAAACTTGACACGAAGTTATAAGACCTGGTTATTACATACATTTGGCGGCCCCGAAGCTTATCAGAGTCAACACTAGATATCATTGTACCTGGTATCTATTGCTATTTTGAAATCTGTAAGCTGCACACATCCATTTGTCTCGTTATCATCGGTCCCTCTTTATATTACAAAATAGACTTCTTATTACTACTACTACATGACAATTCTTGCTGTGACAGTATTATACATATAGTAATCCAGTTCGTGCATTAGTTCTCTTGGCAGTAGAAGAAATTATTCTACATTAATTAAATTTGGGGACGGGGTGGTCTAGCGGTAGAGAGCTGGACCCGTAAGTCTCGAGTTCGAATCCGGGTTCAAGTAAATAGACCGTCCCTGAGACCACCCTACTCTGATGGGTACCTAACTCACGTTAGGGTAAGTAAAGGCGGCTGGGCATAGTGCTGACCACACTATCTCTTCATATGCCGAGGTCACAGAAACAAGTGAACTCTACTTCACTTGCCACATAGACTGTCAGGTTTGAAAGGGAAACTTTTAAACAATGCACAATTTTGCTGCCCGTAAGATAGTTTCGCGTGAAAGTAGAGTATATAACATTATTTTAACAATATTTTAAAGTTTTTCCTGCCCGTGACATTTAGACGCGGGATCATGATTTCTAAAACGGAGTAATTTAAACGTAAAGAATTTGGGGGAAAGAAACCACAACCGGAAATTTCGCTACACCCAAAAGAAATAAAAAGAATAATAAAAAACAAACACAAATGTGGTCTGTCACACACCCTCACTACATTAAAGACGACGGCTATTACAATTTAACACGAAAACAACAATACATAATCTTTCGACTTAGAGCAGGCCACAACAGACTAAATCAACACATGCACATGCACTAACATTTACTTACGCGTTCTACTTTTAACGCTACAATTTATCCCTAATGTGAACGGAACTTTACATCAAAGTATATTATTTAACCTAAATGATAGGATATATATATATATATATATATATATATATATATATATATATATATATATATATATATATATATATATATATCTATATATATACTCAGGTTAGTGCTAAAAATAGTACCTTTATGTCCATTGGTATTGTAATGCTTCAGAAGTTGTACTATTAGGTCCCGTTTACGGGAAATTAGTACCGTTTATAATTTTTTTTTGTCTTAATTAATGTCCTATTTTAACAAAAAAAAATTACTCATTTAAATCACTTTCTTCTGGTCTTGTTTATATTGTTTACATAAATGATTCCAAAGGTGTAAAAACTTTGATTGATGTCTTGTAGTTTTTTTAAAATGTATTCTTATGCTTAGGAAGTACGAATCACTTAGAATCCCCTATAATATATATATATATATATATATATATATATATATATATATATATATATATATATATATATATATATATTATAGGGGAAATACACAATTTGATTATACATAATTATACACAATTTAATTAATTAATTAATTGTGTAAAGATTTAAACTATCATTTTGGCCTAATAATTCTATTTACCAGATCAGTTTCAGTCAACATTTCACTTTCTTGAAGTAGATGAATAACATTTGATGGTTTTACAAATTTTCTAAACAGCTTTAGAAAATGAGGCTTGAGCCGTTCAAAATATTCTGGATCTAAAGTCGGCTCATCCATTTTGTGACGTGGTCAACTGTATACCTTATTGCCACCAAATAGGCTAAGCTATCCATAGTAGACCCATAATTTGCTCTATAACACTGGAAAATGAACAATTTAAATTAATATATTTTAAGTGCACATACTAAATTAGTAAATGCAATGTTGTAAAAGCCGTTTATTGTAAACTAGCGTACTCGTCCCTCGGATTCAGATCAAAGGCTAACGCAATGTTTTTTCCGGTGGGGGGGGGGGGGGGGGGTAGGGGGGGTGGACAATGCTAAAAGTATATATTCCTACATAAATCCTATTTCGTTCCTGGGGTGGTAGACATCTTTCGATGGTGGGGGGGGGGGGGGGGGGGGTTGGAGTCCCCCCCCCCCCCCCCCCCCCCCCCCCCCGAAGAGATGCCTGGAAGAATTTATGCATGCCATTACCACTTAATCTCTCTCTCTCAGTCTCTCTCTGTAATTGGCTAATTTCGTCTGCCTACATTTAAAATTCAAGTCTTAAATTTTAAAATGCTTTGTTGCTAGCTATTTTATAACTTTAAAATGCTAAAGGGCCTATGTATTATGAATAAGTTACAGAGTTATTAAAAAATCTGCATTTTTTGCTTAATTTATTATTAGGCTCTTGTTGAAAATGTTTGGATTTAAACGTATCTTATTGAAAACAATATGAGGGTTGGAAGCAGTAGTCGTTAACGAAATATAAATATTGACCAAGAGTAATATTTCAACGTCCGGGGTAGACCTAGATTCAGAATGTAGTCTTCAAAATTTAGAGTTGATTAACCAAACGATTAGATCTCACTGTTGCCAGTTCGGTGTCGACGCTAGCTTCCAAGAATCTATATTATAAATCTCTTCTTGGAGACCCTAGGCTGTAAGCGCTCTCCCTACCACCCCCACCCCTACCTGGTCTGGTGAGCTGTGGTTCACGCTAAATGTTTACAAACGTAGAGCCGGGTTTAGTGACGGCTATTAGGGGCAAATCATTTAGTTTGAAACGATTTTAAACTTAGGGGAGGTAACTAAGAGGAGGCTGCTTTCACGCATGGGGGGGGGGGTAGGTGTTGGGGAAAGGAGGGGGGTTATCGTCCTTAACGAGCTACTGATAGTGTTTTAAATAAAATATTTTAAGAGGCAGCATTGGTACTGTCGAATTCACAAATTGTGAATTACTGAAAAGTAGAAAATAAAACAACTAAATAGCGGAGTATATTACGCCGCGGGTCGGCTCGTTCTAAATATTTACTTAATATATATGGACTCACTGAGTCAACAATTTGTATAATCAAAAAATCTATCATAAAGAAATAACAGGCATTTCAACTAGTCTAATTTATTTCTAGAGCTCTTACCTGAGGCTACTCGAATAAATAATTTGCGATGTGTGACTGTAACATTGAGCGCAACCGTGTGTCGAAGATAGGTTATCTTAAAAGGCTTTCAAATCACATTGATAAAGTGTTCTTCATAACACACATTGCTACACATTTAGTATTATAAACTAGAAAAATTGTATATTAACTGATAGTGTTGCGATTTTCCTTTTGCGCACGTATACTTAAGATAGCCGATCCTAAATAATATAGTTATAACTGTATTTAGAACATATGCTTTAACAGTATTGCACTTACAACAAACAAATTAGTAGAATATTGAAACGCAGCGCAAAAAATTGTATATTAACTGATAGTGTTGCGATTTTCCTTTTGCGCACGTATACTTAAGATAGCCGATCCTAAATAATATAGTTATAACTGTATTTAGAACATATGCTTTAACAGTATTGCACTTACAACAAACAAATTAGTAGAATATTGAAACGCAGCGCATTTACTTATCTATATTATCTAACATCAACCTTAAAACTGAACATTATTCTCAACATTAATCATAAACACAACTTCAAACACACCATTTAGCTTTAGCTTTAGCTTTAGCTTTAGCTTTAGCTGTAGCTGTAGCTGTAGCTGTAGCTGTAGCTGTAGCTGTAGCTGTAGCTGTAGCTGTAGCTGTAGCTCTAGCTCTAGCTCTAGCTCTAGCTCTAGCTCTAGCTCTAGCTCTAGCTCTTTACCTTTACCTTTACCTTTACCTTTACCTTTACCTTTACCTTTACCTTTACCTTTACCTTTACCTTTACCTTTACCTTTACCTTTACCTTTACCTTTACCTTTACCTTTACCTTTACCTTTACCTTTACCTTTACCTTTACCTTTACCTTTACCTTTACCTTTACCTTTACCTTTACCTTTACCTTTACCTTTACCTTTACCTTTACCTTTACCTTTACCTTTACCTTTACCTTTACCTTTACCTTTACCTTTACCTTTACCTTTACCTTTACCTTTACCTTTACCTTTACCTTTACCTTTACCTTTACCTTTACCTTTACCTTTACCTTTACCTTTACCTTTACCTTTACCTTTACCTTTACCTTTACCTTTACCTTTACCTTTACCTTTACCTTTACCTTTACCTTTACCTTTACCTTTACCTTTACCTTTACCTTTACCTTTACCTTTACCTTTACCTTTACCTTTACCTTTACCTTTACCTTTACCTTTACCTTTACCTTTACCTTTACCTTTACCTTTACCTTTACCTTTACCTTTACCTTTACCTTTACCTTTACCTTTACCTTTACCTTTACCTTTACCTTTACCTTTACCTTTACCTTTACCTTTACCTTTACCTTTACCTTTACCTTTACCTTTACCTTTACCTTTACCTTTACCTTTACCTTTACCTTTACCTTTACCTTTACCTTTACCTTTACCTTTACCTTTACCTTTACCTTTACCTTTACCTTTACCTTTACCTTTACCTTTACCTTTACCTTTACCTTTACCTTTACCTTTACCTTTACCTTTACCTTTACCTTTACCTTTACCTTTACCTTTACCTTTACCTTTACCTTTACCTTTACCTTTACCTTTACCTTTACCTTTACCTTTACCTTTACCTTTACCTTTACCTTTACCTTTACCTTTACCTTTACCTTTACCTTTACCTTTACCTTTACCTTTACCTTTACCTTTACCTTTACCTTTACCTTTACCTTTACCTTTACCTTTACCTTTACCTTTACCTTTACCTTTACCTTTACCTTTACCTTTACCTTTACCTTTACCTTTACCTTTACCTTTACCTTTACCTTTACCTTTACCTTTACCTTTACCTTTACCTTTACCTTTACCTTTACCTTTACCTTTACCTTTACCTTTACCTTTACCTTTACCTTTACCTTTACCTTTACCTTTACCTTTACCTTTACCTTTACCTTTACCTTTACCTTTACCTTTACCTTTACCTTTACCTTTACCTTTACCTTTACCTTTACCTTTCATCTTACTTCTCCACTATCTTTTCATTTTCTTAAAAAAAATTACCGTTTCCTTTATCTTAATCGTATGCTGATGTTTTAACAAAACGTTAACCTCCGTACCATTACCATTACACATCACCTAATTCTTATCCTATTCTTTTTTTTTTGTTACCTTAATCTTTACCAAGGATCTTTCGTTTATTTATACTTGTTTCTGATTTAGTTTTCCTTTATTGAATTATTTTGCGTTAAAACTCCTATTTAAGTATTCGTTTTTTGTTATCGTTTATTTGTATTTAAATACTAACTTTAAATGTTTGACTAAAGAAATAATCTATAAATGTATTATTATTTACTTCCTGGGGATCGCAAAAACGGCCCGAATGAGTATTTCACCTATCCCATAAAATCCCGCGTCGGAAGGGCTGTATGAGGCTCATTAGCTTGAGACAGGCATATCTTAGAGAGAAACGCTGATAGAAAACAAAACCTGAGCCCGTCACATGATAGGATTGCCAACTCTTGTTTTCTTTAAACAGGCCTTCGACACACTTGATGCCAATTTTATAGGTAGTTTAGTCTCATCAGCTTTATGAAGAGATAGGGGGGGGGGGTGGGTGATATCTGGCTCTTATCAAATTGCTGCCTAAGCTTTGCGCTTAGATTTCAAAGGAGTAATCACCCACAAGTCAATCTTTTTTTACTCGTAGTTTGCCTTTTTAAAGTAATATCTTCATCTTAATTTTATACATATGATTCGTGACAAAAGGAAAGAGAAAAGGTCTACTTACTTTAATGAAGATTTAAATACACGAAATATTAGCTTAACCGCTAACAGTAGACTGTCTGCATGCTTGTCTATACGTTTGTCCGTCTGTCTTCCTGTGTTTGATGTGTGTTTAAATTTCAACCTTCTTTGTTGAGACTTTTAAAACTCTTTAGATAAGTATTTTAACAAATGGATAATATTGAGTTTTAAAATCCTATTTACTTTTAAATAGTGAGTCAAATTAAAAACATGTTTTTATATGCTGCTTATTTTTATATTCAAAGATTCATGTAGTTTTTTAACAACATTTTAAAATCATTTGAACACATCGTAAATATTGACAGCACAACAGAGGCGTAGTGACCCTTCCCGACGCCCGGGGACAAACTTTCAATTTTGCGCCCTCCCCCATATATTTTTTTGTATTCATAATCCAAAACTGCAGCTAAAATGAGCTATTATTTTTTTTTCAATTCATTTTGCCCCCCCCCTAGGGTCGGCGCCCGGGGACATATGTACTTCCCGCCCCCCCCCCTCTACGCCCCTGCAGCGGAACATGTAATGAACAATCACAGACATAAACTTTACATTTACCAGATACCTTTATTAAGTAGATAATAGGCATCCATTCGTGAATATGGTATAAGCCAAATAGACGCAAAAAGTTTTAGTCATAACTTTTCGAAGCAAGCTTAAATATAGCGGGTATTATGATTGCGAACTACGGCTTTACTTTAATTATACAACACACATGTATTAGACAAACCACACACCTGTGTATCACACAAACCAGACACTTTTGTATCAGAAAACCACACAAATGTGTATCAGACAACCCACAAGCCGTCTTATCAGACAAACCACACACCTGTGTAACAGACAACCCACACTCCTGTGTAAAAGACAAACCACACACCTGTGTATCAGACATTCCACACATATGTATATCAGACAACCCACATATGTATGTATCAGACAAACCACGAACATGTGTTAAACAACCCACACACCTGTGTAAGACAACCCATACATGTTTATCAGACAACCTACACACAAGTGTCACCATATCAGATAACGCACACACACACACACACACACACACACACACACACACACACACACACACACATAATTATAATTAAATAGTAACTGGCGTAAACAGTTGAAAATATTATTTTATCTTCTATGTGTATAAGTGATGTTAATGATCATAAGGAAAGAGGTGCAAGCAATATTAATCACAGTCCCCTGCAATGGGTTAAAGGAGTAATAGCGCATGTTTAAAAAATTGGAGAGTTTGTCCCACGTCGCTACCAAGAATAAAAACGTGTGAAAAAAAATACCACCATTCATTGAAATTAATCCACGTTATACAATTCAATACTGTTTATTCTATTTGTAAGAAAAAAAAACATTGACCATTTGGAAATTAATATGGAAGTTGTCCATAGATAAAAATCAAAGAATTACAAATTCTGTCTATTTAATGTATGATAACTTCTTTGCAAATACATTATTATCTAAACTAAACGACAATGGGGAGTAATTGACTTATTTCTAAAACGACAACCTGAATTAAGATGCCAAACGCTGCAATAAGGTCTACTGATAAAGCCACGTCTTATGCAGAAGATAAATTGACTTTATTTGACTAGCACGTGTGGCTTTGTGTACGATGACCCATTTACGGTAAAGTCATCCCTCACATTAAATCTTCTAATCCTTCTTCCACATGTGCCAAGTCAGTGTATGTAGGTGTGAATCTGATTGTACCCTTAACATATGTCTTTTTGTTGAGAAGGCTAATTGTAATTTTTTGAAGCCGTTGTGTTCGCTGGCTCTTCTTTGTTTTGACGTTAGTTTCTCGGTAGTTGAAACTCTTTCCATGTCAATCGGTTGCTCTTCGCTGAGCTTACAAATTTGTGTTTTAAACTCTGCTGATAACATTGTTGTAAGCAACCTTCTGCGTATGATTAAGAGTAACATCATTCTCTCAGCATTTTGAAATTTCTTACATACCCCGGCACGCTGGCCTTAAAGGCTAGCATTGCAGTTTCTTGCAGAATAAGGAATTTAAAAAAAATACATAACTAGCGTTATTCCAGAAGAATAGGAACAGTTGTCTCTCTTTAAGGAACAAAACTAAAGAAACAACACATTTCACGGGTAAATAATTCAGTAAATAAAATTCATTTCCAGGTCAGACACGATTATCTATCTTGAACATTTTTCTTTCTTTTTTACTTTCTCGTATATACGAAGTATAGAGAAAGTATTGTAATCGTGCTGATACTGATACGGAAAAACATACTTTTGCA